ACTTATTCTTCTTCCAATATATGGATTCGCTTATCGCTAGTGAGGCCAGTGCCATATTACAGAAGAGTTTGCTTTTCCAGGATAAAAAAATCTTTTCAAAAACTTTGCCTGACTGAAATAGAAGCTTGGAGATCTCAGCTTTTGTTCAAGAAAGCCTTTTTATCACCTGAGAAACTTAATGAGAGATGGAGGTTGAATCTTCTTTTCATACCTATCGCTCATCTTTTGGTATTATAATTGTTTTTGGAAAGTTGAATATACACAATTGGAGGAAACACTTTTCCTAGAACTTTCTTTTCTACATCACCAATAATGTATCGAGACATATGAGTGTGATCAATAGGAGCTTGTTTACATTTCAAAAACTGATATGTTTCATATCAGCCAATCACCTTTGGTAAGGATTTGTGCTACCAAAAATTCAGAATTAAACTGAAGTAGGCAAATTCCCTAGAAAATCATGAAAGCGATAGCTCTAAGAGGTCCACAAGTGACTGGAAGAGGAAAAATAGGCTTTTCTGTTATCAAAAACCTCTATATACCTCTTGTTTCAAAGGTTAAATAGGTTTTCGGGTATTTTACAGTCAGTTCTTCTTCCTTTAGGAACTTTCTTGTCATTGGTATTAAAGGTATTGCTTGACTTTTCTTGGTTACCAGGAGTTAAGTTTTTGAGTAAAGAGGTTTGTAAACAATAAAAAAAGGGTAGAGTGACTTTTGAAGTCATACTTCAAGTTGTTTTAATGAAAGTATTAAGACTTTATTAGCAAGGAAGTATAAAAACTTCTTGTAAATATCTTTTTTGTGTGTGATCAGAGGATCAGTAAAAAGAGTTATCGTCAATAGCAGTAAGTATACTATTCACTTTCAGTAGGGTAAATATACTGTATATATAGATAGCTAGGTGCTATTAATAGTATATAAAAAAAAATGAAAACAAACTATATACATAACTTCAAAAAACAAAAAAAATCTAGGAATCTTACAAAAGATTTGTAAATATAACTAGATAAAACTATTTCAAACTAGAATTCATAAAAGTTAAAGTACACACTGAAGACAAATACAATGAACAATCAGATTAACTAGTTACTATCAACTCCAATAATGGTATAACTCCTAAATATAGAATAATACATATCATTTCTACTCAAAATCAACAATACATACTAATTCTTTAATAGGACTACACAGAAATTGAGATTCTATCAAAAGCATAAAGAAAGAGTTAATCAAAATTACACACTTAGAAAAGTAGAGACTTCTAAATAGAACAAGAAATGAATTCAGTAATAGAATAATAATATACTGTATATTCACTGGCCTACAACAATGAAAAACCTTTAATCAATCAATATAAGTAATTCTACAATAGATTGGGAAGATCAACAATAGATAAAGTTTAAACTCATCCTCTATAATAAAGAATCACTTATCAAAACTAAACTTTTTAGCTGCCTTTCCACCTTATACAAAAATAACAGATGTATTAAATATAATAATAGAGAAACAAATATTTATTCCTTCTTCTACAAAGATTAACAGGAAAAAACAGAAAAGTAGATTCAATATATTATAATTCAAAAGATACAACAATTTAGTAAAATACAAGATACAAAAAGAATCTTTAATTTATTCTCAATTCTAAAGAAGAATAGTAACTTACAATCTTCTATTTTTAGTTTTACTGTTTGATTGAAATAAGAAAATAATTTTTTTTATATATTTTATTTGATTAGGATAATAAGAAATTGAAGATTTCAGCTTGATCAAATAATTATTTTTTTATAATATAAAGGATTTATTTCATTTTCTAATAGTTTTATAATTTCTTTGTTTCAATTATACTTTATTTGAAAAAGTAAAAAATTTTATATTAATGATTTTTCCTTTCTTTAACAATAATATTATTAGAACATATAAGTATAGTTAATAGAAACTTATTTATATTCTGTTATTAACATATTTTATATTAAACAATCAAAAACCATGTGATTTTATACTACTAAAAATTCAGGAATTAAGTTAGAATAGATAAAATTTTTCAAAAAAACTAAAAAAACTATAGATACATTAAAAAAACAAGAAATAATATATGAAAAAATAAATAATAAATCTTATTATATTTAGAAAATCTTTATTTCCATGTCACTTTCAGCTTTAAAAGATAATATTTAACAATATGACCTTTTTATTTTCTGAAACCTTCTTTTCTTTGGTAGAGGAAGTATGTATTTGAGTTTATTTAGATTATTAAAGATTTAAGTTTTTATTTAAAAGAGTTTATAAACAAATAGAGATAGGTAATAATAATTTTTGAAAACAAGTTTCAAGTTATTTTAAGGAAAGTATAAAGACTTTATTAGTCAAAAAGTATAAAAACTTTTTGTGAACATTTTTTTTTGTATATAGATAGAGAATTGGTGAAAAGAGTTTTTATTTTATTATTATTAAATATCATTACTTTTTTTATTAATTATCATATAATTTACAATAGCCAATCAAATTCTTTAAAAGTAAAAATTTAATAAAGAAAGAAATTTTTAACAATAATATAATTTTTTTGAAAAAAATATAATAAATATAATCAATATTCAGATATGATATATATAAATTTTATAATTTTTAATTGTATAATTAATTGTCAAAATTGAAATTTATAATAAAAATATAATAAGTGGACTCAAATTTTTGAAACCAATTGTATATACATAATTTTTTATAAATTTGTAATATACTTTTTAAAAAAATTTTTTTTAACTTTAGAACAAAATTTTATAATAAATTTATTAATTGATCATTAAAAAATTTTTAATAAATAATTTTTTAGATTCTAAAATTATATTTAAAAAAATTTTTTTTATATTAGCAAAATTTTTTATTAAATTATATTTAATGAAAATTTTTCAAAAGTAAGTGTTCCACACTATATATAAAATTATGTACAGCTTATAAATATTAATAAAGTATATGTGTAATCTGACTAATGACTTAAAAAAAAATCAAAAATATTAATAGAATCTAGGTATACAAGGATCAAAAATAAGTCTCACTTTCATTGGTATTTAAATTGGTTTTATGTAAGCCGTGAACATCGACAAATAAAAAATAAAATTAGTATACTAATTGAATTGCCTTATACTACTAAACATACATCAAAACTCGATAAAATATACATGTTTTATGTTTTATTTGTCATACCTATCAGAGTTATCTCGTTTGGAAAATTCAGGGATTCATAAACAGCAAGCATTTAAAGTCTTGGGTAATAATGGTTTTTATCAATAAACAAATGTTTTTAGTTGAATATCTGTGGTTTTTATAGTTTAATTTATATTTTTGCAAAATTAATAAAAAAAGAAACATTTTATGCGAAAAAAAAAAAAAAAAAAAAAAAAAAAAATTTTTTTTGCACAATTTTATTTGGCAATTAAATTCAACAAAGTTAACAGGACCATGCGTATATAGATAATTTAATAAAGATAAACATCAAATATTAATTATAATAAACAATGTAAAAAAGAGAAAATAACAAGAAATGAGTAGAAATATTCATTTATCCACTATTGCAATATTACATTCATATGGCGTGAGTATCCGATATGTTTTACTCGGTATTTTCTTCGATCACCTCTGGCAACGGAATTCCCTTACATCCACCGTTATTCCTCACCTCTTGCAACCATTTTTTCCAACATTCATCCTGAAACAGCAAGTTAGGATTTCCTACAACAGCCAAAAGGGCCCGCGCTCGGGTGACAGCAACGCAAAATCGCTTTTGTTCGTTGAGAAATCCAAGGTGAAATTTCTTATCATGCCCTATGTTCGTTGTGGACGATCGAACAGTTGAAATGATGATCACGCGTCGTTCGCGGCCCTGGAAATTTTCCACGGTACCAACATCTATTCCTTCATAGTTTTCCTTTTCCATCAGTCTCCTAATCTTTTCGACTTGTTTACAGTATGGTGTGACGATTCCAATTTCGTTTACTTCAACATTATCCTTTTCTACAAGATCCTGCACAATTTCAAGCACTGTCGCGGCCTCGTGAGCATTAAACCAAGATGGGGAACGACCCTCTCGCCTATCTTTACCGTTGACACCTACAAAGGTGACCGGATAACCTTTCATGGGGAGAATATTGGATTTGATTAAACTATAGGTGACTTTATTATCGCCGCACGCTTCGAGATCCGCTTCATAAAACTCCCTGTTAGGGAAATCGAGTATGGCCGGGTGTGAACGGTAGTTTTTCAGGAGTTTCACCCCATGAATGAAATTCTCATCGAAACTGTAAGGACTATTATCCATATTTACAAGGCGTTCTATGAGAGATGTTCCTAGGGATCGATTCCTCGCGATTGAAGAATGGATAATCGGTCCCAGTTGCTTTGGATCACCTGCCAAAATTATTCTTGTTTCTTCGGATGCGTTTTGCAATGCCGTTACGACCTCTGGTTCCAAGGCTTGCCCTGCCTATTGCACAATAAAATGTTTATTTTAAAAATATGATGAATTAAAATTTTAAAACGGATATTTAATGCTCAAATAATAATACCTCGTCGACAAAAATATGCGAATATTTCTTCTCTCCTTTTAAGGCATATATAGCTCCTGCAGTAATACAGGTGGATACGGTGACTTGGTGATCCATCACCGCCAATGGCTTACAATATTCGAGAAATTCTTTATCGAAGTTTCTCAGATCTCGCGAAATTGAATTGATTCTAGCCAACTTATCAGGTGACATGGTCGTACGCAACTTTAATAATAACCCATCGGCCGCCGAGTTTGAGGGTGCGCAGACCAAAATTCTTGCTTCTTTTTTATCATCCAGGAGTTGCTTTATCGCTTCAACAATAGTGACTGATTTACCTATGACGATTTAAAATTTCAGTGAATACAGTATATACGTAATACGCATGATATTGCGAAAGAAAAGAGACCCTCACCTGTTCCAGGAGGGCCAAATACAATAAAAGGAGCGGGATGATAAAATCCTAACTTGATGGCTGCTACTGCCCGCTTTTGATGGTGGTTCTGTGCAATGCTTTGATCAATGAACACAAGATTATTCATTGTTCGCCGGATTTCTGGTTGGCAATTATGGGATGCTTGATTTGAAGGGAATAGTCGCCTGATGGTCTTCGATGATTCAAGAGCATGGTGCATCCTCCTTACCGATATACGGTTAAAAGTAAATCGAACATTGAATTTTGCATTCTTCGAGTGCACTTTATTAAATGACTTCGCGAATTTTAATGTAACGCTACTTTCCTCCACGTGGTGAACAAACCCTTGATATGCTTTCTTCTCGGCCTCCTCATGTTTCATAACTAATACATGATCCCCGATAATCACTGATGGTCGCTTTTCTGCAAGTCCGGGCACATCCAATATAAAGTATGATCCATTTCTCTCCATTTTCACTCCCTCCTTATCATACAATTTAATGTCTTCCATTATTTGGCATTCCTCAGCGAAGAGAAGAGCGCTGAAAAATTTTTTATACCCACTACCGCTATCCATCTGAATGCTAAATTCCTTAGATGCAAGAGCATCCTCTAAGGGCATGCCAATAATTTTCCGTAGTTCGGTAGGAATCTTGAACCGAGGCAACCTGATTTTATATTCTGGCCTTTTTTCAAGTTCTGGAGGAATACCAGGGACGACTTTTCTGTCCTTCATGAAATCATGCCTTCTTCCACGTTTCCTGCGTTCATAACTCGACGTTGGTCCAAGAAAATTCAAAATCTCTTCTTTTGAGGATGCGCTTGTCATTATTCAGGTTTGAGAGTAAAGTTACTTCCACATGAATACTTGAATATATTTACATAAGTACACGGCGCACATGGTAGGTACAGCCCTGTTTTTGTTAGAAAGTTAAGGCAATATCACCATATTGCCACGTTCATTGTCGTGTCGGTGCAACAGACAAAACAAAAAATGAACTAATTCGCTGATTGTGTTACTTTTAAAAGTATCACAGGGAAAAAGGAAGATGATTGTGTCTAAATATGTACATGAATTCGTATAAATTGTTTCTGCCGAATCCCTTGTGTGCCGAAGCACTATGAAGGGTAAAAAATCATATTTAAACAAAATTAGTATTCGTACAATCAACTAT